GCCGACTAGAAATCCGAGGTGAACGCATTTTCGACCAATCTCCCTTACTGTTAGTTCTTATGTTCTATTGTTAGCGGTGTAGGTACCACACGGGACTATTCCCACCTCTCGTTCCCACCGCTGCAACTCCTGTGTAGCCAGGATCTACAGCTTGACCGCCAATAAAAACCCAACCAGTGAAGGTCAAGTTTGTCCCGAGGGACAGTTAACTGTCATTGGACCCGCAAAGAAATTAATCAGAAGAACATAGGAGGAGTTCGAAGTAAGGTCCCAGTGTTACCACAGTAAACACACACCGTTCTTGTAAGAAAGGTTCTGAAAAACAAACATGATTTGGTTTCTGACCCGGTGGACTGATGATTGGCAGCACAATATGATTATTCAGTAGTCTTATTAATTCAAATACTTTTTCATCACTTCTAATGAGAAAGTCAGACTCTATTTTAGATACTTTATTTATTACTACTAAAAGTGCTTTTTAAAAGCCTACTTTAAAAAATAATTAGTTTTATGAGTTTTTAATAGCTCACCCGGCTAACTTCGCACCCCCTAAACTATTTAAGAACAATGTATTGTAATGGAGAAAGAATTTTTGAAATTAGTCCACTGGTTTCTGACAGTCAATTCTTTCCTTTTGTAATATTAGTAAAGATATTTATTGTAGCTACAATTTTGATTACCTTCCTTTGTCCCAATAAAAGGTATGGGACAGGCTGGGACAGGTGATATATAATCTGTGGATTTATTCCTACAGATAAAATAAATCCCAGAGACCATAGTAGCCATTTTTCCTGCTGAAGTGGCTATTCATCAAAAGTTGATTAATGTTTTTGCAAATATTTGTATTACTTATTATTTTTGCCGAAATACCTTGCGTAGTTTTATTCCGAGGTAGCACGTACGGACATTTTAGCACCTTATGTAATTGAAATAGGTGTGTTTTTACCACTAAAACACATTTATGAGTTCACACGAAAGTCCAGTTTTACGGGATACTGTATTTATTATTGGAACTGGAGTGGGACGTCCACCCACAATGTGGACCGACGACCTGATAAAGGTAGCAGGAAGGCGCTGGATGCAGGCCGCTACCAACCGTGCGATGTGGAAGTCATTGGGGGAGGCCTATGTTCAGCAGTGGACGTCCTATAGCTGAAATGATGATGATGATGAACAGGCCCTTCTGTCGTCTGTACATGTGTCTCAAAGCGCTAGTATAAAGCCAGAAATAAATAGAATAAATTACATTCAATGTTGATAAAAGTTCGAAAAGGGCGTTACCTTACTACCAAAGTAAAATATATCTGTAACGAGCTCGTTTTATTAATAACCATTAGAAAGTTTCTGTTTGTGTGTCCCACACGGGAATCCAAGTATACAGGGTGGAAATTTGTAATGCCACCTGGAGGGAAAGTACTCTTAATACTGTAGATAGAAAATTTTACTGAAAGAAAACATTCCTTTATTTTTGAAAAGAAAGAGAACTGCATTCATAGATTTTCGAAAAATTTTTGAAAATTCGCTACCATACCATATAATTTTCTCCTACATAATTAAATTTCATGGTTTTCCTTTCATTTGATTTATCAAGTTTGTTAGAGAGATTTCATCCTTATACTTAACCCTAACGATCGATGCAATAAAAATACAGGGTGTAATTTTTAACACATTTTAGTTGGTTCGATTCCCGGCTGTGGCAAGAAAATTTTTGAAAATCTTTGAATGCAGTTCTCTTTTTTTTTTCAAAAATAAAGGAATGTTTTCTTTCAGTAAAATTTTCTATCTACAGTATTAAGAGTACTTTCCCTCCAGGTGGCATTACAAAATTCCACCCTGTATATTTATATTTATTGAGCAAAAATAGACCAACTAAAAGCATCGCAACTAAAAATCGCTTTAATCCAGAGTTCAATATAGCCGTTTGAATTCTCGGTAGACTGGTTCTGACAAGTAGACACGTAGCAACTTTGTCCAGGGTTCTACGCTCGTAGGGTTCACTTTGTTACAAACTATATTGCAGTACTCAGAGGTAGATAGGTACAGTCAGCGTCAAATAGTTCGTGGCACCTAAAGTAGCCAGTAAGTTCGCAACGCGTCTTTGTTACAATGAGGGCTATCGTTTTAGCGCTCACCAGTTAGCGCCACTGTAGAGTAAGGTCCTGTCACTTGCTAGTAGCGAAGACAGTGGCACCAACTGGTGAGCGCTAAAGTGGTAGGAGGACTATCGTATTTGCACTCATCAAGATGGCGCCACTGTAGAGTAAGGTCCTGTCAATCGCCAGGGGTGCCCAATGTTAAGTCTAAAAACGATAGCCCTCATTGGAATAAAGTTGTGTTGTCAACTTTTTGGCCACTTTGGGTGTCACGAACTATTTGACGCTGAGTGTACGAGTTACATTTAAACAAGCTTAGAAAATTTGCTTGATGTTAATTTATCACGCATTAGTATACAAAATATCTGATTTATCAAAATAGGTAACAAAAATTCGAACCACTTTCGAGTGGCACGAAGACTGTTGAGTCGTTGTTCTGTAAAAAAGTATGTTACGAAATACTGAATTTCATTATTGTTTCACAGTCGACAGCACTTAAGGCTGTACGTTTTTTGCACAAAAAAGCACCTGTTACAATTAACTAAAGTTACGTGCAGTCTGACATAGTTGAACGACCTTAAAAAAATAATGATATTATTCTTTAGAGTGCACATTAAGTCTTCGGTCGGTACGAGACAACCAAAGCTCATAAGGTTGGACACTAGAATTGTTAATTTAGTTGTTGAAACCCGTACAATAGCTATGAAAAGTTCTCGAGAAATGTAACAATGGGTAATCACCCTTAGAGATCCAAACGAGAAAAATATAGCCCTTCAAAACGATGACAAAAACCAACGCGCAACGGCAGCATTGAGAAATAATATTTTTCACAAAAAACTTTATCCAATTTGAAAACGGGCGGTTTTCCATCTCATTATAAAAATGACAACTGAAATCTGAGGGTCCTAATGATGGAACTGGGGTCTGGTTTCGACGTTTGTAATGAATGTCGATATTTTGTATATTTTTAATGGTTCAGCCTTTGCTGGGAAATGGCTGCGAGAGATCGAGGGTATACCTATACCTACTCGTACGTAAATTGAAAGAATGGTGATAATTAAAGGATTACTTTCCTAAGCTTACCTTCTGTAAACATTTAATAATGTACAGTAGAATCCGATTATCCGGATAAATTAAAACCAGGGGTATTCCGGATAATTAAATATCGGGTTAATCGCGGTCAGTGTCCTTGACTCTGCTTCACGGCGAGATGCATTCATTCATGTTAAAAAAAATAGTGAAGTTTATGCCACGCGCAGTGTATGTTTCCGTCGTTGTCCGTCGTCACCATAATATAATATTTCAGAAGCAAGCAATTACTTCATCTAAAGTCACTTTCCATATTTTCTTCTAAGGAATATTTACTGTTAAAGAAATTTTATAATACACGAGTCAAATAACTATTTCTCTTAAACTAACTAATGTATCATAACTGTTATAGTTTTCCTTGAAAGATCATGAAAAGCAGTGTTATTACGAATTTTTCCAGATTTTTTAAGCCAACAGTTTAGTTTTTAGAGGGGGGGACGCCCTACTCGAACAAAAATTGGCACTTGAATCTTTCATAATTTGCAAACAGATACCTAAATGGAAAAAAATAAATAGTCTTAGAAACTCCTATGCCATTTTAAAAGACCTATCCAACGACACCCCACACGATGGGGTAGAAGATGAAAAAAAATTCATCCCCACGTTACATGTAGGGGAGCTACCGTAAAAAATTTTTTTTTCAAAATTTTATTATACCGATTTTTCGGCGTGATTAATATACATACCTCCACAAAATTACAGCTCCCTAGTGCTAATAGTTTCCAAGCAGAACCTCGGACAGACAGACAGACAGACAGACATATCGAAACTATATGGGTTCCTTGTCAGGACTACGGAAGACGGAACCTTAAAAACAACAGAACTGAGAACCTCCTGTTTTTTAAATCAGATAATTATTTGAGTGATGTGTTAATATTTAACAATTTTGTTACAGATACATCGCACCCTTCCTCCTAGCAACCACCATAGTGGCCAACACTCTCATAGTGGTGGTTCTCTCCCGTCGCCACATGCGGACTCCCACCAACATAGTCCTGATGTCCATGGCGTTATGCGACATGTTCACCATGCTGTTCCCGGCGCCATGGCTGTTCTATATGTACACCTTCGGGAACCATTATAAGCCGTTGAGCCCTGTTCGAGCATGCCAAGCTTGGAATTATATGAATGAGGTAAGTTTTTCTTAATTATTTATTTATTTATGAATAGAACGGTAGTACCAATTACACAATTCAAATAAGACACTCACTGCGGCCGCGGGTTGCACAGTCGCGTCAGCAATATAATTACGCGCGAGTGATAAGGATGGGTAGCTTAAGGTCATTGGACGAAATTCCATCTGTTCGGCGACCGGACTTTAATTTTTTATTATGATTCTTTATTTGCTAACTTTTATTATTATCAGTTGGGCTAGGATGCGCGCCATTCGCCCCCCGTCCTGGGGGGCCTGTAGGGCCCGACGTGTAGGCGGGCAATCGCCGGGAGGGACTGTCGTAGTGAAGGCTTTGTCCGGAATCCCACAGTTCCTTCCCACTTAAGGCGAATGACGGAGCACCGGGGTCTTTTTAGTGGGTATGCCTTTGTCCTTCTGACTTGGTGAGCCCTACATAACCTACCCTGTCCCCGCAGGATAGGTATGCAATTCAATGCATTTTTTCCCCGAAAAAAAAAAGGATGCGCGCCATGATAAAATAATAAGAATGATTTCAGACGATAAATCGATAAAATAGCTTATGGATTTGCACATATGCACAATATCTACAGGGAGATCACGCTTTGACAGCTCATAAAAATACCCAATTCATATTCATCGTTCCTAAAGACATCTGCTGAGGCCGCAATATGTCGGCAACTTCTTGGCCATGCGCCAGGCCACTAAGAATTTTTGATTCGACCAATACTTAGCGATTCTCAATTGTTTCTGGGCGAGACGTTTTCCTACTAAAATATTCACAATATCAATATTATTTGCAGAAAAATACACGAGATTTATTCCAAAGATACAACTTCGCGCACTCACAGCATGCACTGCTAAACGTAGGAGATTATCTAATGATAAGTAGATTTATTTTGAATAGAATATCCGTACGACGGGTCGTTGGTCTAAAATACACACATGTACCATACTTTGCATTGCACTCATTAGTTACGGAATGAATTTCGGAACTGGTAGGCATGTTATTTAGAAAGAAAGAAATTATTTCGTATATTTCGCACACAAAAACAAAGAATAAAGTGTGCCAAAAAGGTCCCGCATTAGCCGTGACAATGTACCTATGCCACGGCGCTGATTTTCAGACCTTTGGATTTACCTTCGTCATTCTTAGAATCCTCTTATTTTAGCGGAATACTTCAAATTCTATATTATTGGGCCCTTTTTGGGCACTTACACGTCCCAAATATGCTGGTGCTGAAAAGAAGTGGCGGAAGAAATTCAGTTTCTTGTACTGAAAAATATGGTTTGTTTACAAACGCCCGTATTCAGAAACATTACAATGAGGTCTCATAGTGCGCGTGGACGCACAGGGTGACACGCGAATAAATTACAGAGCTCTATTCAACGCTGTGCGTTTGATTTGCTGCTTCACATAAGCAAGCATCGTTTGTGAATGTAATACGGGTGTTAAATTTATTAATTTATTTAATGAGCAACATAATAAGCTTACAGAAAACCCAAAGCGCTTACATGTTTAGTCACATTAGTCATCTTAAAACTGTTTCTAAATGTACACAAAAGTATCTTTACTATAAGTACAAACTCTAGGTTAACTTTAATCATTGCAGTGTAGCATTCTGAAAATCCAAATACGAGTAGTTTATGTCGTCTAACTTTGCTAAACGACATGTTTACGACGCTAAAGTACAATGCTTGGCAAGCACTACAAATCCCATGGGTTCTCTGCCAAAATTTAGTTAAGTGACGATGATATCAAGTTTATGCGAATAATTGTTTATCATTAGATTGTATCAGAATCTATGGTACGATAAACGAAATTTGTGTCATTTAAACGTTTGTATTTACATGTGGGAG